AAGGGGGGGGGGGGGGTAATTAGGCGTACAGTAGTACACAATACTGACGGGTGGTAAGTAATGTGTAAGGGTGGTAATAAGGCGTACGATAATACACAATACTGACGGGTGGTAGGTAATGTGTACAGGTGATAATAAGGCGTACTATAATAAACCATACTGACGGGTGGTAAGTAATGCGTAAGGGTGGTAATAAGGCGTACGATAATACACAATACTGACGGGTGGTAAGTAATGTGTACGGGTGATAATAAGGCGTACTATAATAAACCATACTGGCGGGTGGTAAGTAATGCGTAAGGGTTGTAATAAGGCGTACGATAATACACAATACTGACGGGTGGTAAGTAATGTGTACGGGTGATAATAAGGCGTACTATAATAAACCATACTGGCGGATGGTAAGTAATGCGTAAGGGTTGTAATAAGGTGTACGATAATACACAAATACTGACGGGTGGTAAGTAATGCGTACTGGTGATAATAAGGCGTACGATAATACACAATATTGACGGATGGTAATAAGGCGTACGATAATAAACCATACTGACGGGTGGTCAGTAATGTGTAAGGATGGTAATAAGGCGTACGATAATACACAATACTGACGGGTGGTATGTAATGTGTACGGGTGATAATAAGGCGTACGGTAATAGACCATACGGACGGGTGGTAAGTAATGTGTTCGGGTGATAATAACCCTGTGTTCTTGGTTACCACCCTCAGCTCTTGTTCACCACCCTAGCTGTTGTTCACCGCCATCAGTTCTTGTATACCGCCTTTAGTTCTTGTTTACTACCCACAACTCTTTGTTACCACCCTAGTTGTTTTTCATTAACCTAGCTGTTGTTTCCCACCCAAGCTGTTGTTCACCACCCTCAATACTTGTTTACCACTCACAATACTTGTTTACCACTCTCAGCTCTTGGTTACCACCCTAGTTGTTGTTCATTTTACTGCATTCAGCTCTTGTTCACCTACCCTCGGTTCTTGTTAGCCTCCCTCAACTCTAGTTTACCACCCACAATTCTTTTTGCCACCCTAAACTCTTGTTCACCTACCTAGTTGTTGTTTACCACCCTATGTTTTTGTTTAACTCTTAGTTACCACCCTAGATGTTGTTCATTAACAAAGGTCTTGTTCAACACACTCAGGTCTTGGGTGCCACTACAATACTTGTGTAACACCTACAATTGTTAACCACCTTAAGCTCTTGCTTACCATCCTAGCTGTTGTTCACCACCCTCAGCTCCTGTTCACTACCCACAGCTCTTGTTCACCTACCTAGTTGATGTTTACCACCCTAACACCCTCAGCTCTTGTTTACCACCCTAGCTATCGTTCAACACCATCAGTTCTTGTATATCACCCACAGTTCTTGTTTACCACCCCAACTATTTGTTACCAACCTAGTTCTTTTTCATTAACCTAGCTGTTGTTTACCACCCTGAATAATTGATTGTTTACCACTCTCAGCTCTTGTTTCATTAACCTAGCTGTTGTTTACCACCCTTAATACTTGTTTACCGCCCTTAATACTTGTTTACCACTCACAATTCTTGTTGACCACACTCAGCTCTTGTTTCATTAACATAGCTGTTGTTCACCACCCCAGGTCTTGTTTGCCACCCACAATACTTGTGTAACACCCACAATTCTTGTTTGACACACTAAGCTCTTGTTTGCCACCCTAAGCTCTTGTTCACCTACTTAGTTGTTGTTTACCATCCTCAGCTATTGTTCACCACCCTGGGTTATTTTTACCACCCTAGCTGTTGTTTACCACCCGTAGGTCTAGTTTAACAGTCACAATTCTTGTTTACCAACCTACATTTGTTTACCACCCTCAGCTCTTGTTCACCACCCTCGTTCCTGTTTACCACCTGCAGATCTTGTTTACCACTTCCAGCTCTTGTTGACCACCCTCAGCTCTTGTTTACCACCCCCAATACTTGTTTACCACTCGCAATTCTTGTTTGCCAACCTCAACTTTTGTTAACCACCTTAAGCTCTTGTTCACCAGCCGATGCTCTTGTTGCTGTTAACCACCCTCGGCTCTTGTTTACCACCCTAGATGTTATTGATTAACCCAGCTCCCGTTTACTACCCAAAAACGTTTACTGCCTTCAGCTCTTGTTTACCACCCTCGGT